AGATTCTGACTTCACTGGTCTGAGGGGGAACTTCAGCAACAGCAGTTTGCAAACTCCCTAGGTTCTTCTGATGTGCATCTAGGGTTGAGAACCACTGTTTAATGCAATCAGTTTGCAATCCCTTTGAGTCAGGGATTGCCAAGCAAGCTGCCTTCATGCTTCCAAATGTGCACACGAATCACTTGGGATCCTGTTAAATACAGGTTCCAATTCAGCAGGTTTGGGGTGGGGCTTGAGATTTTGCCTGCCTAAAGCTCCCACCTAGGTGATGCTGAGGCTGCTTGTCCCCAGAGCGTACTTAAGTGACTTGAGCATCCTACACTATGTGAAAAGCGCTGGTTTACACCAGCCCATGAGGTCTACAGTAAACATTTTTCTGCCATGATCCTGCTGTCTGGCAGATTTTGTTTAGTGTAGTCAAAGAACACTGGGGTCAACAGGCCTGCTTTCCACTTCCAACTCTGCCCCGAATTGGCGCTAAGACAAGGCTCTTAAAAGTGCTTCAGTCCTTCACCCTCTAATCTCTGAAATGGGAAGATGGGACTGGATAAACTGTAAGAGTCTTTTTGTTCCTGCCTCCTCCTGCGCAGGTCCAGGGTGTTTTTATGTGAAATGGCAGCCTGGACTCCGTAGTAAGGACCCTGACTTGCCTTAGTGCCCTTTCTACCCAAGGGGCTGGGCTTCAGCCCTGAATTTAGTATTGACTAGAGGACATAAAACTAACCAATGTTAAGAAAAAATTAAAGAAGATTTTATGTTAAATTGTAAGCTATAGTAAGTACAAAACGAATTCAGGGAAGCAAGAGTGGTGCGTTGACTGCAAGAGTCAAGGGAGATACAAGTTAAACTTTGTTTACTGTCCTTTATGGCCTGTAGTGCTGATTCAGCGTGGTGGTTCTCATGTTTTCATGTTTTTGTCTTTAAAAAAACATTCTTCAACAGTGAAAAACAAAACATATTTTTCTATCTTAAACAGATGTAGGGGAAAGACCTACTTTTGTGGAAGTAAATGTTTGAAGAGAAACTAAAATGCTATAAACTCTTCTTTTTCTTTTTTTTAATAGCCTTTCTTTCTCTCCTTCCTCCCTTCCTCCCTCCCTTCCTCCCTCCCTCCTTCTTTCTTTCTTTCTTTCTTTCTTTCTTTCTTTCTTTCTTTCTTTCTTTCTTTCTTTCTTTCTTTCTTTCTTTCTTTCTTTCTTTCTTTCTTTCTTTCTTTCTTTCCTCTCTCTCTCCCTCCTCTCCTTCTCTCTCTCTTTCTCTTTCTTTCTTTCTCTGTTTCTTTCTTTTCTTTTCTCTTTCTTTCTTTCTTTCTTTCTTTCTTTCTTTCTTTCTTTCTTTCTTTCATTTATTTTAGAGAGAATGGAAGGGAGAGAGAAACATCAATAGGCGAGAGATACATGGATGTGTTGCCTCTAGCAGGCCCCCAACTGGGGACCAGGCCTGCAACCCAAGCATGTGCCCTGACCAGAAATCGAACCAGTGACCTTTTTGTGACCTTTCTGTGACCTTTCAGTTCATAGGTCCTTGCTCAATCCACTGTGTCACACCAACCAGGGCTCTTTTTCTATATTTAATTTTTCAAGGCCAATCTTGACTTTTAAGAGATTGATACTGAAAAAAAAAAATCACTACGACCAAATATAGGTGGAATCAAAAACCCTTGTGCACCTCCTTATAGAACTAATAAACTATCAGAAATTACCTAAAATGAAATTAAATTTTTTAAAATTGTAAGTAATATTAAAAATGACATATCTGTATACCTTAACTCATTGGAAAGAGACCAGATAACTTGCTTGGATTTTATAGCATAGGTACACAGGAGTTTTTGACTCAACTCTTTTGATTTCAAAGGAGATATATTTTGCATTATAAGTAGAGGAGTTTTACCAAATAATAGCTTCCCCTCAAGAAAAGGTTGTATGACCAGTGTTTAGGTATTGAAAAATATGAAATAATACAGTTACTCTCATTTGATGAATTATATTCAGTATACACAATTTAGCTCTAACTATTCTCTGAATACCTCAAAGAGTTTTGTTTTTTTCTGTATTGTTTAATTATTTTTAAATTGCAGACTGTCAGCCGTTTTTCTCAGAAACACATAGCATTATAGTTTTATTGTATTTGCTAAATCTTTATATAATCAACTATTGATTTTCTGTCATAACAAGAGTGATAATATAATAGAGTACAAATCTTCTAATTTTAAACGAATAAACACAATATATGTCATTTTATAGAAAGAATATTTTGGTTGCAAGTGACAGAAAGCCCAACCAAAACTGGGTGAAGCAAAGAAGGGGGTTTTGGGGTCCATGTAATTGAAAACTTGGAGGGTAGAGCTAGCTTCAGATATGGTTGGTTTAAATAGTGTAATCAGGACCTGGTCTCTCTTCATCTCATGCCCTTGCTTCCCTTTGTGTTGGCTTCATTCTCAGGCTCCATTTAATCACATGGTGGCTGCCAGCACTGCCACGGTTTTATATTTCTGGTTCAAATCCCATAGAAACTAGAACAGCCTTCGCCTTCTCCCCTCCTCCTCAAAAGTCTTAAATCATATCTCATTGGCTCTGATTGGATTCTTTGCCCTCCTCAGTCTCTGAGGCCAGCAGGACTGGTGCCCTGATTGGCCAGATCAGAGTCCTTTGGCCGTTCCTGGATCTGGGGGCATGTCCACACTGACAGGGAAGAAGGGAATGATTCCTTAGAGGAAAGGTGACCACTGTTTCAAGAGAAGGAGGAGTGGATACTTGATATGAAAAGCATCTACAACAGAAACTATGTATCTCTTTCTCTGTTTAAGCCAATACTGAAAGTCATTTATAAGTGTAAATACAAGGATCTTAGTGGTAGAATACCATCAGGAATATGCTTTGTGTTTGGATCATATAGAACTGGAATTTAAAATAACATTTTTTTTCTTTTATTTAATGTTCAATTGATGAGTAATTATTTAAAAAATATTTATTCAGAATATAGAAAGAACCATGTTAAGTTGGACCCTGAGGACATAACAGTAAAGAAGATACAGTTGTTTTCCTTTGAAGAACTTATATACAAATGGAGGATCCAGGGTGGCAAGCATAAAACAACATTTTCATCTTTAAAAAGTAGAACCTTAACGAAATAATAAAAGATTGTGCAGTATTGGATACCTGATTGCTTACCTTACAGGCAGGAAGGATATTCAAAATGTTTAAGAACCTGTGGCAGTGGCATCAACCAGTCAGAACGAGTTGGGTATAGCCTGTCAGAGCTGGTGCTGATTACCACCAGCCAGCAGGGCTCAGCTATCTGGGAGGCATTGTAAAGGTCTTGCCATATTTCTCAAAACATGTAGTTTCTGTATTATGTTCCTGGGGTTACCATAACAAAGTATCATAAACAGGGTGGCTTAAAACTCAGAAATTCATTTTCTTGTAGTTCTGGAGGTTGGAAATCAGAAATCAAGGAGTCTTCAGGGCTGTGTTCTCTCCAAAGGCTCTAGAGAAGAATCCTTTCCTGCTTCTTCTAGCTTTTGTTGGTTGATGGCAATCCTTGTCATTCTCTGGCTTGTAGATCGATGACTCTGGCTGTCTTCCTGTGGCCTCCCCTATGTGTCTGTGTCTCTGTAGCCAAATTTCTCTATTCTTATAAGGACATCAGTCATATTGGATTTGGAATCTACCCTATTCTAATATGATCTTAATCTTGTCCTAATTACATCTGCACAGACTCTATTTCTAAATAAGATCACATTAATAGATTCTGGGGACACATGAATTTTGGTGGAACACTATTCAATCCAGTATAGTTACCTAAAATCAAATGCTCTTACATAGTTGGCGTGACACAAATTTTAAAAATATTCATTATTAAACTGCTCACAAACATTGTATTTTTTCCTTTTTTATTCTACAGATAAACACTGGATTTTTGAATCTTAGTATAAGTACTTAGGTGAATTATGAATTTTTTAGTTGAGATGCTATTCTGTATTTTTTTACTAGGTCAGATTAAGTAACCACATCTTTCTTAATCATAGTTATTTTAATCTGTAGTTATTTTAATCTGTGAAAATGTGAATGTTACTACAGCAATTTGGTAAGGAAAATATAACTTTCATTAATATGTAAGTATGTTTGTGCATGAGGAGGTGTTACAGTTTTATACATGACTTTATTGAATTCAAACAAGTTTAGCCTAAAAAAATAGAACTGACAACAATTAAATGAATATCATTCCATTAGTATATTTGAGAGAAAATATAAGAAACAGGAGAGAAATGCAACTGGTAAAGGGCTTGGATATTGTATCTTTCAGAGAACATGAGAAAATGGTGGTGATTTTCTTCAACTCTTTGAATAATGGCTCTGTGGAAAAGAGTATAGATTCTAGAGGGAAGAACTAGGACCAGTAAGTTAAGGTTAAAGGGAAACAATCAAGTGCAATGTAAGACAAAACTTTCCCACTGAACAATGTGCCGGTACCAAAATGGAGGTGACAGTGGTGAAGGGAGTAAAATGTAAGTTTCCGGAAGTGCCCAGGCAGATGCTGCGTAATTATCTCCCTGGGACATTTTAATGGTGATTTTGCTTGATCAAGAAATTGAAATGAAAGGTCCTTCATTTCAAGGTCTGTTGCAACGTCTCCTAAAATTTCTCTTTTTATTTATGTCATGAAAATCAATATTACTTATGTGACACGGCATTTCTATAAGTTTATATTTTTTTAATAGCTGTGAAACTAAAGCACTATGCTATGACTTCTGTGCTAAGCAGTGCTTAGGGAAAAAGTGGGGGAGGGGCATGGATTTAATCTAAGAGTAGTATCAATAAGTGAGAAATGTGGGGAATAAAACTTCTATTTATTGGATGAGTTTATCCATATTATTTCATTTAAATATACTTGGTTTTTCATTGCTTGGTTTGGAACTTATAAGCATTAATAAGTGTTAGAATGATGAATTCTTAAAATAACTGGCATTTTCTTATGTATTTTTTGGTGATGGACTACAGGACTGTTCTGATGGATACATGTGCAAAATGCATTTTCAAATTAAAAATGGGACAGTGGTGTCACATCCAGGGGCATCTGCCCATGGACAGACGTGTCTTCCCATGGAGGTGAGTGATTTAACATGCCATGTTCTCCTTTTCAGTATTTGTGAAGTGTGAATTAAAAAATTTAATTCTGTTAAATATATACTTAAAATAAATAACTGCCATTGGGTCTCAGGCCTGTTGTTCAGGGAAAGTGAACATCATTTGTCAGGAGGTATTTTCTTCTATAATATTTTTATTTTACTTTGTTTTATTTTGCTTTTTATTGAATTTATTGGAGTGGCATTAGTTAATAAAATTATGCAGGTTTCAGGTGTATAGTCTATATTACATCATCTTTATATTGCCTCCCTCCCCTCTGACAGTTGTCAGTCTGTTCTCTGTATCTATGAGTCTGTCTCTGCTTTGTTTGTTAGTTTATTTTGTTCATTAGATTCCACATATCAGTGATTCATATGATACTTGCCTTTCTCTGAATGGCTTATGTCACTTAGCATAATACTCCCAGGTCCATCCACGCTGTTGCAAAAGGTAGGAGTTCCTTCTTTTTTACTTCTATAATATTGAAAGTAGGAATTGTGGTACAGTTGAAATCCACTCTGAGTCTATACAGATTGTAGTGAGCCTTCACCCTTTTGGTTTCCACAGATGCCTTCCCGACATTGCCTCTTGATTTTTTCCCCAGGAAATCCCCCAGGATAATGCAGACCTGTCCCTCTGCTGTTTAATACCTGGCTGCAGACCTCTTTGCCATTTGCCTTTAACTCTTTTCCCTTATGCTCATTAAAATATGCTAGATCTAGGTCTCATTCTGTAGGGTACTTTAACCTTGACTTGAAAATCTTGCTAAATTAAATTTTAATATGGCTATAAAAGCTGAGTGGTTTTCTCGGATATTTTCAATTTAATTTTTATCAAAATGTAAATAACCCTATTGTACTGGTTGTTATTAATAAAATTTTTATATATCAATTGTAAAGATAAACAATAGAGAAATATGTAAAAAGAGTAAAAAAACTCCCATATATCCTTCAACTGGAGGTAACCACTATTAATATTTTAATAAAGATCTATCCACACATTTCTGTCATGTACACACATGTACACGTACTTTTGTTTTGCAATGGACATTTATATCATGGACATCTTCCCATGTCAGTAAATGTAGAATTCCATAGTTCTATTTTTATGGTTCCATTACATCCCATCCTTTGGATGTACCATCATTGTGTGGAGTCCATACTGAAGTAAAGTATTTGAATTTGAAAATGGAATTTTTGGGCTCCAGTTGCTTTAACACAAAGGAAGAAATCACTTAGAATTATTTAGCATTCTGAGTATCCTTGTAAAATGGGTGAGGAGACTTGTTTCGTGAATGAAGAGCTTCTTCTCAGTATCTATGAAATCAGATCCATTTGGCAATCTGGTTCTAACCCCCTCTGTCTGTGTACGACACTGGCAGTAAATAACTATCGCCAATATAATTTGGTTTGCAATTTATTCTTTAGGGTATTGTACTTGGTAATAAATTAAGTGCCCCCAGTGCATACTCAAATCTTGATTGCTTCTTTATAGTTTGAATAACCAACATCAAATCTGAAGCCAAGCATGTTAGGAAGCTTTTTAGTTCATTATATAATAACTTTAAAAATGCACATGGAAATGATGATTTAAAAGATGAATTATCAGCTTTTGCCTAACAAGTTGGCAGATATTTGAAAAGCACTAAATTAAAAAGTGGTGTTGACAGTGTGAGGGAATGACACTTTCTGGTTGATGTTTTAATTTTACAAAGTTTAAAGATGTGCACATACCATGAACAATCTACTCCAAGTCTAGGAATTTAGTTTCATAAAATATAAATTTTTCCAACATTTTTCGTTTTCAACACTTCCCAATGAATTTCAAACATAGGAAAAAATTGAAAGAATTTTGCAGTGAAAATTCATGTACTCATCACCTAAACTCTACCATTAACATTTTGTTCTGCTTGCTTTGTTGCATATCAATCCCTCTATTCATTTATCAATATACATTTTTTGATGCAAAACTTTTACAACAAACTAAATTGCAGGTGAATACTTACAGAATAATCAGAAATGAACATAGAGATTCACCTGCAAGTATGTTCATGTCACGATGCTTTATAATGGGATATAATGGAAATAACAGAAATGTACAATAGCAGTGGATTAGTTAACTGTGGCACATCTCTATGATGAAGTTCTTTATTCACTAGCTCTGGACTGGGGCCTGAGAGTCTGCATTTCTCACAAGTCTTCAGGGGGATGCTGATGCTGCTGGCCCAGGGACCACACTTTGGGGACCACTGCACTACTCTATAATAGAATGTTTAAGCACATATCAGATACTGAACAGCTGAGATGGTTAGTTAATATGATGTATGATAGAGTCAATGTTGCAATAATCTTGATGCAATGAAAGATGTCTTAGGTTGAGCCTGAGAGGGAGATTTCTGTTCAAGTGATTTATTAGGGATGTGCCCTTAGGAGAAAGAGAGTGATGGAAGCAACACAGAGCAAGGAATAGACACTGGGGAAGAATGCGATCTCAGCTAGAGACTAACTTTAGTCTGATCCCCTGGCAAGCTCTGGAGCACAAAATACAACCAGAATTGGCCCCATTTTGTGCCCCGAGGCCAGCCTTTTGTGTTCTGTGACAATTACTGATTTGTCAGTCAGCCATTGGCTGAAGTGGACGGGCACATAGCTTCCCCAAGTAAGGTGGTTCCGGTTTTACAGAGAAATTCTTCAGAAAGGGGGCTGCTGTGTGTTATCAGTCAACAATCACAACCGCTGAATGGGGACAGGCACACCATCTTTAAGGGAACCTGGGCCTGGCACCAGTGGCATTTACTGCTGAAGAGTAATCTAAAGCCAACAAAATTGGATCTAAAGACAAATATATGTTTAAGGTTTGCATTTAGATGGAAAGGAAGAGGCTTGACAGTCTTACAGCAATTTGTTTGAGAAACAGCTGGTGATTTTAATTGACTACAAGCTCAACATACATGAAAAGAATGCCATGGATGCTGGGAAAAGTAACTGGAGCCCAAGCTATGTTAATTAAAGCATAAGTGGATCCCAAATATGGTCTGTGGGGACACTGATGGGGTATCCCAGAGATACTTTCAGGGAGCCTACAACATCTATTTTTATAATAATAATAATATGTTATTTACATTTTTTACTATCATTCTCCCTGAATTTTCTAACCTACCTGTTACAATGTAATAGAGTGAATGCAAAAATAGTTACCAGAACCCAGCAATCTTCTGTGAAACCACTCATTAAAAAGATTTACACAATGGAATTCTATTCAGCCATAAAAAAGGAAAAATTTACACTTTGTGACAGTATGGATGGACCTGGAGAACATTATGCTAGGCAAAATAAGCCAGTCAGAGAAAGTCAAATGCCATGTGATTTCATTCATGTGTGGAATCTAATGAACAAACTGTACTAACAATCAAAACAGAGACAGACTCATAGAGAACAGGCTGACTGCTAGTAGGGGGGGGAGAGCAGGGGGTGGAGGGATTGAGCAAAAAGGAAAAAGGACTCAGGGACATGGACAACAGTGTGGTGATTGCTGGGTGGGGGAGGGTATAAGGGGACTAAACAGTAATGGAAAAAAATCTAATCAAGATTAACTAAAAAAAATGGAAAAAATAAATCACACACATAAAAATCAAGTGTTGGGAGGTTGTACATTTCCACTGGGAATTAAAAATATTATTTTATAAATAGGTTCTTTTCACATATCAATTTCTACCTGAATAAATGCAATATGTACATTAGAAGCAGGATCATTGACAAAAACAATTATTAAAATATAAAACTAAAAAAATTTTTCAAAACTGTAAAACAATGTGACTTTTCTTACTAATTTATGTTGTTTCAGAAACATAAGTTGATACATATTTTTAATAAATTAACAAATATTTAAAAATTTTTCAATTTTAATTTCTAGTACAGTGAGTATCAGTATATATGTCTTAAATAAAAGCCCATTGGAATTCTCAATGAGTTTAAAAAATGTAAAGGAGTTCTGAGACCAAAAGTTTGAGAACCACTGATCTAGATCAACTAAATATTGCATTATTACATATTATGAGCATTGATAAATATAATGTATAATAAGCGAGTACATAGATAATGGCTTAAAAATAAATTATAAATAGAATTCATCCATACAGAGAAGCATGCCAAGGGCCATGGTGAGTTTGGAAACATATTATTATGAGGAATATTTGAGGGCTCTGGCGATGTTCAATTAGGACAGAAGACCTAGGAAAGTTAGTTGTCTGCAGATATATGCAGAAGTGTTTCTTGCAGAAGAGAGATAGTAGACTTAATTTGTTTCCAAGGATAGAACTAGTTTGTGTCTGGAAATTACTCTAGGCAAATCTCTCTAATGTTTAGAGTTGCCTACAATGAAAGTGGTCTATTGCAAAGTTGTGAGCTCCCTGTACTTTCATGGGGACTTTTAGCTACAGAGTAGATAACCCTCTCTCCAGAACAGTGGTCACCAACTGAAATGCTCAGATGTTTGAAAGCCTGAGGCAGATGACGAGTGAGTAAAGTGGGTCAGTGGGAAGTAGTGGGAGCTGTGGAGAAGTGGAGAGGGCATGACTCCTTCAGAGGGGGACTAGGCATGCAGCACTGGGTGGATTTTCAAGAAAAGGCAATGATCTAGGTTTTTGTGCTTTGGCTTAATTTTTAAAAAGTCTGTACAGACCAAATAGACTATGTTTATGGGCTTTAAGTGGTCCTCAAGCCACCAGTTTATAACCTAGCTTCTAATACTATAGAAAGAAGTCCTGTATTGTATAGAAGACTGAACTAGGGGACCTCTGGGTTATCTTTAGAATTTAAAGACTGTTAGTTCTATATCTGTTCCCTATCTGTACGTCACATTTCCTATATAAAGATATTCAAAGGAATGCCTCTGCTAATAGTCATTTCAAAAAGTGTTTACTTTGGTCATGTATGATGTGGGAAATCAACTCACTTCTTTGTTGTAACTAGATCTGGCAGTCT